AAAAGACTCTTGAGAGTCCTTTGGACTGCAAGCAGATCAAATCAATCAATCCTAAAGAAAATCAACCCTAATATTCACTGGAGAGACTGATAGTGAAGCTGAAGCTCCAATCCTTTGGCCACCTGTTGTGAAGAGCCGACTCATTGGAAAAAGACCCTGATTCTGGGGAAGATAGATGGCAGGAGGAGAAGGGGGTGACAGAGGATGAGATGGTTAGATAGCGTCACTGTCTCAATTTACATGAGTTTGAGCAAATTTTGAGATATAGTAAAGGATAGGGAAGCCTGATGTGCTGCAATCCATGGGGTCACAAACAGTCGGACATGACTTAGCAACTGAAAACAACAAAATAAACTATTTGGTAAATGGTGCTGAGGCAAATTTTATATCTATGGAAAATGCATTTACTCTTCATTCTATGAAAAAATATATATATATATTTTAAATGCTAAGCTGTGGAAAATCGAATTTTAGTTAGAAAAACTTGTAGAAATTTCTATTTATCTTTGAGTTGGAAAATATTGTTAACAAATCTGTATCAAAAGGAATGAAAAAGTTGACAGTTTTGAGAGTATTAATATGAAAAGTATCATATTACTTTCATAGCACCAAAATAAGAATAATTGGCCATTAGTGGATATTTGTAAGAAAATAAATTATATTTATATGCAAAACATATAAGCATCTCCATCATTTCAACTGATGAAAGCACAAACAAGTCAAGAAAATAATTGCCAAAAGTCATGAAAAAGCATTTTGCAGGAAAGAAATCACATGTGGCCCATAAACCTCAAAAAGGATGCTTGACATTGTAAATAATTTTTAAAACACATTAAAATTCACCATTTTATTCCCAGTAGCCTGTTAAAAAGTAAAAAGGCTGGCAATGCCAAATCTTGGCAAAAATAATGCAGACTCTTCTCAAAAGAGCATAAATTGATGCCACCATTTGTAATGGGTACTATGATCAAATTCTGAATCTATGCCTCAGATTATTCTTTTTTTATCAACTATGATTGTTTTAGTTTAGGTTTAATAAAGTATGCACAGATACAAAGAATAAACTAATATATAAACTAGTATGAATATAAAAGTCTGCTTATGCATAAATCATACTGACTTCAGGATTGCAGTTTCCTTGGAGAATAAACGAGATCAAATGGGCTACAGGAAGTTCAAATATATCTGTATCTCTTTATATTTCTAAAATTCTTAAATTTCTAAAAATTCTTTTAAGTCTGAAAATACATTTTTAGGTGCACATTATTTCTAATAATAGTTAACTTTTTCAGCATTTACTATTTGGTTAGTTCTATGTTAAACACTTTGCGTCTATCATATAGTTTATATATATTTTGTTTCTGCTCAGTATTTAATAGGAACACATTTTAAAAAGCGAGTCATAAGAGATAATAAGAGGAAAGTGAGAAGATTCTTCTTAGGCATTTATTTTTTAGCAAAATCTGCAAGACATTGACCTTTGTGACACTTTGATCAAACTGATTGGCGACATTTGTTGATAGTGAACAGACGGTGTGGCAGAGTGCCCGGGATGTTGCTGGATCCTGAGGTTGTTAGTACAGCCAAGGAATCAGCTGAGAACTGGTTAAGGCTTGTTAAACTTAGACAGTTGGACAGTATATGTTCTACAGTTTCACAGAGAAGATGCTGACTGATCTTTGAGAAAGTACAGTTCTCCAAACCAGACTACCTTAGGGAAATATCAACCTGAATTAGAAAGAGAAATACAGTTATTTTTGATAAAAATATAAGTTCTGTTGAATGATAATGATAAGTTATAATGATAAGTTCTGTGGAACGAGAAATAATTTTATTACTATTAGTATGGATGTAACATGCAATGGTTATGGCCACTAAGGTTTCTGCTAATGCGTCTTTTAAGAAATAGATCAAAATATGTACATAGCAAAACAGATCTTTGTTAAATAAACTGTATTTGTGTGTTCAGTCACTCAGTGGTATCCAACTCTTTGTGACCTCATGGTCTGTAGCCCACAAGGCTCCTCTGCCCGTGGAATTTTCCGGGCAAGAATACCAGAGTGGGTTACCATTTCCTTATTCAGGGAATCTTCCTGACCCAGGGATCAAACCTGCATCTCTTGCTCCTTCTGCATTGGCAGGTGGATTCCTTACCATTACACCATCTCTTTCAGCATATCAGCATTTACATTGCACTTAATTTTAACACTATATATCATTTTTGCCATCTTATTTTCCTTATCAATTTCCTTAGTATGACCTTTACAAAGTTTGTTAACTAGAAAAATAAAAATAACAAAATCTATTGAGTTCATCCAATGGATTAGAAGTTCCACTAGTATTCTTTACATTTTAACACTATTCAACACAAATTTTAATGCTGCCCCCTTCACACTTCACAGATAAGAAAACACAGGCTAAGCTAGAAAATTACTGTTAAACAAAAGAAAAAGATGTCAGTTCTAGAACCATCTTCATCAAATTCAATGATTTTTTTCACTACTTTTCAATGACACTTTTCATTGTGTAGAAAAGCACAAGCTAAATGGAGTTAAAATCTAAGACATTTGATTCTGAAGTATACTGTTTGTGTACAATTCCCTGTTTATCTCACATATGCTGCACAACATCACTTTCTCTAAGAATCCCACATCAAAAGGTGCTTCGTAGTTTTGCCAAATAACATCTGATATGGTTTTACCATTTGTTTGTCAAACAAACATGAGAGGAACACATGACTTGTACAATTATTACAATTTTGTGAAGAAATTCAGAAGTATGTTCAGCTTATTCAAGGTCACAGAGCTAGTATATGTTCAGGAGTTGAACCCAGAACTTTTGATTTCCAGAGCAAGTAAATTTCCACAACACTCAGGTGATTTTCTAACATCAAAGACACGTAACATACTTTGACGAAAACACTAATGTCTTATTATTAGATTGATCATCTTATATCTGTGCTAACGCTGTATCTCCCCTTTCTACCTCTTAGACATCAAAAAGCTCTATCTTTATTTATATTTTTGCTTATTATTTTGAAAAGTTTTAATTTGTAACTTATCTAAAAAGAGTTGTGACTCAGATAAACAGTGCACAGCCTTTGTTAAAACCTGATGCAAACTTGACAGAAAATTTAGTCTCAACATTGTCTTTCCAAAGAAATACAATACTGAAAGGCATACTATGATTAGGAAGAAATTTAGAAGACCGTGGAGATTCATCAGAGATCGATCAAATTACATGCAACATAGTCGAAACTGTTAAATCGTTGGGCATTACTATCTCCCTTTTACTTCTACCTACCGCCCACCATAGCCTCCTTACCTCTTCTTTAGCAAGCAGAGTCAATGAGATTCCACTGAGAAAAGAGCTTTGATCCACTGACAGAAATCTTTTTTTTTTCCCCCCAAGCAACAATATTTTGAAGGAAAAAAATAGAAAGAAAAGAGTTTCAATAAAGGCACACTTTATTTTACAGAGATATTCTCCTCATAGTCATTAAGAACATAACTTTGCATCCACTGCAATAAGATGTATAATTGTAAAAACTGTCCCACAGTCAGAGTGCATTTTTAATACTAAGCATTTTTAAGTGTGTAACAGTGTCAATTAACAGTTAAATGGAAATACAGCACTCATGCTATCATACTTGAAGTTTAACTTTCCTTAGTTTCCTAACCATTATTTTACTCACTAGACCAATATATTTAATTGTGAAGTTAATATTTAAGTGTGAAGTTTCATTTACACTGAAATTGAAATTTTGTGAATTTTAAGAATACTACTTACTGTAGGATAATCTTTTATTGAGATAGGATGAAACATAAATTCATATTTATATTTAAATATTTGATAAACACTTATTTTGAAATTCACCATAGAAAAAAGAGTTGTAGATCATAACTGTCCCAAATTAAAGAAATCATATTTAAATATTACTGAAAGGATTTACATATTACATATTTGTCAAGTAAGAAACACATCCAGACATCTGGTTGACGAGAAAGCAGATATGGAATGGATACCAAAAGTTATAAATAGCAGGAGATATAAATACCTTATGAACAATTACAGAAATGAGGACAGTAGCAAATATTCTTTGTTATATACATATTTGTGTTCATTAACCCTTTTATCGCTGTCCTCTATCTCTACCATTTTGTGTAAAAGGTATATTTACAGTTTAGGACTTACCAGCAAGAAGCACATGCGAAATGCAGGGGGTAAAGAAGAGACCAGTATAGCTCCAGCAGTGGTAGTCAGGCAAATGGGCTTTCGACTATGGAAGGTTTCAACTTCCCGTGAATGACACATTTTCTCCTTACATCTCACGTATTATATATTTTTAACATCTCAGATTTTAAAAAAGAAATCTAGAAAGGTGACTTGCAGCTCACAATGAAGAGGAGATGTACACTGCTGCTGCTGCTAAGTCGCTTCAGTCGTGTCCGACTCTGTGCGACCCCATAGACAGCAGCCCACCAGGCTCCCCCGTCCCTGGGATTCTCCAGGCAAGAACACTGGAGTGAGTTGCATTGCGGTCTCCAGTGCATGAAAGTGAAAAGTGAAAGTGAAGTCGCTCAGTCGTGTCCGACTCTTAGCGACCCCATGGACTGCAGCCCACCAGGCTCCTCTGGCCATGGGATTTTCCAGGCAGGAGTAAGATGTACGTTACAGAATGATAATTAAGTTGAGTTGGTCGGTTCCTGGCTGGAGTGTTAGCTGTGTTGGCGTTGGCGGGTGGAAACTCCTTTGCCCAGAAAGCTGAGTCAGCCCTGTGTCAGCAGCCGGGCGGCAGCGCCCCATCATGCTGGCCCTGGACAGGCTCCAGGCTCCGAGAATACTGTCTGCGCGAAGGTGCGGCATTGCGTCACGAAGCTCCCTCTGGTTATCTCCTTGAGATGTCGGGGACGCTGTTAGTTTTCAAGATCAACGCCTGATGTCGCTTCAGGAGGGTCAGGGCCACCTGGAAGGTGACCTTGGAGCCCTCCTTGAACAGACTATCCCAGATGTGAAGCAACGCGGGCTGGAGGTTTACAGACAGGCAGACAAACCAGCGCAACACGCCCGGGGTCCACCGCACGCCGTGCCTGTCCCTTCCCGGCCACCACCGCCAGCAGCTTGGTCTTCACCAGCTCGGGGAGGACCTCCTGGCCTGTCTTCGGGCTCAGCATCGAAGGGCCGCAGTACTCTGGAAGCATCCCGTCCGCTGGGACGTCCACAGCCACAGAATTAGATATCCCGCTATGAAGCTCACTGCCTGGCAACAGCCCACCCCGCGGCTGTGTGCGGGCTGCTCAGCGGCACCTGATCCAGGGTCCTCTGCAAGCAGGGGCCCGCGCCCTTCTGGAGCCTCACGCTGTCCGGGAAGGCCCCGTTCCTGTGTGTTCTGAGGGCCTCCTCCAGGCTTTCATGTCTCTCTCCTCAGAGAACACAGTGGTGGTGGCCACGGTTCCGGTCCATCGGGGCCAAGGTTTCGCTCACCCCGACCCAGGCGCGGGCCAGTGCTCCGGCGGGACGCCCTTCCGGATGTGGTGCGTCACTGTCGTAATCTTCTGGACACCACGGCTTCCCTTTAGAGGTGTGGACCATGTTATGGCCCTGCTGGTGTCACAGAACGGGTGGGAAAAAAAAAAAATTCAAAAGCTGCATAATCGAAGTCCTCAGACCTTTCCAACGCGAGAACGGACTGATCCCTGGAAGCAGTCCCTCGCCCCCTGGGCGCCCTTCGTGCGCGCCTGGCAGACCCCGGGCTCTCCTGGAGGGGGCAGCGGGGGCGCGGGGGCCAAACCCACTGCCCCGGACTCGCAGCTCCTCACGTCATTACACAACCTCCCGCAACTCCGTGCCTTCTGAAGGCCTGGATACTAGCAGGTGTCTCTTATTCCTCCAGCTCTTTCAACAGTTTTTTTTTTTTTTTTTTTAAGGCCTATCATTCATGGTATGAACTCTTTCTGTTTGATGTGTCCAGGTTGTTTTCTGTTTTCCTGAAGAAAACTGTGTAATACTGGAGAGCCAATATTTTTGAGGAACGCTCCCTTCCTGTTTTGCGCCTCTACACGACTTCTTAGAGTTGTTCACTGGACACTGAAAGACTGCGGAAACATTACCGTGGCTTTGTAGAAGCTTTTAGCCTTGTTCCCCATTCTGTTTATTGCTCAGAATTTAGCATTATTCTGTGAAGAAAAAAAAAACTGACCATATATTTCAGGCACTTGCATTTTCCAGGTTTTTGAAAAGAACCACTGAAAGCTCAATTGATCTTTCTCTATCAAAGGCCCAGAATTATCCACCAATAATCAGCAGATATACTAAGGGAAAAATCTTGCTGGTGACTTTTTGCTCACCTAAGAATGGTTCTGCTTCTCAAGATTTTTTGTTTGTTTGTTTAATTTGCTTTGCATTCCTTCCATGGTTCTCAGATGCCTTTTAAAGCTCTGTTTACATTTTTAACGTAGCTATACCGCCCCGCCCCCAACAGGTACATTGGCTAACAGCCGAGCTGCCTTCCCATGTAGTGAACTTTCTATTACCAGGAATGCTAAACTGCAAGCTGGATAAACATGTAAGCCTTTTTACAGGAAGGAATGGGATTATCATGTTGATAATGGAGAGTTACTCTAAACTGTGGTGTGTATTTTCCAATCTGTGGCTCTATGACCATATTTCTAAAGTAATTGCTGTATTGCTAAAAGTTATTAGCAGCATTGCGTATCACATGTGATATTTTTTGTGTTTATATGCAATAGAGTTTAATTAATTTAATCTTGCCAGTGTTATTTTTTCTTATTATAAATTATTTATAGAAATCTTTTGAGAAAATCAAAGATGTGTGCATAGGATATTACATGTTTGGGAACTAAGACAGCAAATATTGATTTGAGAAGGCAGTGGTCTTAAATTTGAACTTGCATTGGATTACCTGGGGGACTGCTAAAACATATATTGCTAAACCCACCCTAGAGTTTCTGATTCAGTATGACTGGAGTGGGGTCTTAGTCATTGCACTTGCTAACAAGTTCTCACACTAATGCTGCTTCTGGGTAACACAGTTTGAGACTCACTGGTGTAAAAACATAAAACAATTGCATGATTGTACTTCTTTTATGTTTTATGTAAACCTGAAATATGAAAAGTGCAAGTGAGGGCACAGTGGCCTCCATAGCTTACAGTTTCTGCTCTATAATTTGCCCTTACAAATGGCCTGTCAAGTTGGTTGTATGATCAACTATTTAAATATTGATGAGACATTTTTTCCGTCCCTGCCGTTCTTAGCTATACCAGCTTGGAACTGTAAGCAAATCATTTTGTCAGTTTTTGTGCAATGCACATTACTTTCTCTTTCTCCCCCTCACTGTATCTTCTTCCAATAATTTCCTGTAAAGCTTGCTGCTTACCTCTGACAGGAATAGCAGCAGCTCAGGTCATCCATCAAACCAGAGCCCTGTGTCAGCGGCTTCTCAAATGATATAAGGTGATTCTTATATGACACAACCATCAGAACGCCACAAAGAAGAAGTCACAGTTGTCAACTTGGGTCATAAACCACAGGAAATCTCAATGAGCCTTCTAGTACCTGCCAAGACTAGTATTAAAAAGACAGGAGGATGGAAAGATAGCATGGCTACAAATGGCAGGTAAATATGTCTTTCAATATTATAATGCATACATTACAACATCTATATTATAGTTACTGTTGTTACAATTATGTCACCATTTTCCTGATCTCTAGAAATGGAATTTATATAAAGCATACTATTCTCAGAGGTAATTCACATGTGGAAAATACATTTTAAAATTTTAACTATAAATTTAAAAATCAAGTATTAAATTTAGATAAAGGTAATAAAGATGTTATTGTTTTGGGCTCACTGCCTAGGTATATATTTCTGCCTATAAAATAGCCTTTGTTTTGAATTTTCCACCTCAACTATATTTGATAAATATTACAAGTCAAGTTTTATTTCATTGTAATTTGATAATCAAAGAGAATAAGATATTTGTCTTGCATTTTCTTCAGCTACATTTACCTGTTACTTTTTTTTTTTAATTTGGCATTATTTCCAGACTAGTTAAAGAAAGAAAAAAATATTTAGGGTTTTTTTTTTTTTGTTTGATTCCCTGGAGGTCATGTTTGCCCATGCTTTGTAAACATAAAGAACATGTTTTCAAAACCCAGTGGATTAGGTACTATGAAAGAAGATAGAAACAGAGAGAGAGAGAGAGAGAGAGAAGGAAAAGGGGAGGAGAGAGGAAGGAGGAAAGAAGGTAAAGAGGGAAGAAAAGATGGAAGGAAGGAAGGAAAAGAATATGAAAAACTCCCTTGATAAAAAGTAGTGCTGGGCAACACATAAATTATTAAAGCTGAAGAGAGTGAAACAGATGTGAAATGCAATTTTAATGTAGAAGTAGACACTTTCTGATATGTCTCCGTATTATCATAATGGGCAAGGAAAAGTGGGAGAGGAGGAGAGGGAAACATGGGAGGAAAGGAGAAAGGGAGGAAGGGAAAGACAAGTAAGAAAAGGAAAACAGCAAAAAGCTTCCTGTGACAAAAAACAGGATTGGGGAACATGTGAATTATTAAAGTTGAAGAGAGGGAAACACTTAGATCCGAAATGCAATTTTAATGTAAAAAGTAGACTCTTGAGATTTCTCTATATTATTATAATGATCAAATGTAGACCGAACCTCTTTGTCTCTTAACTTTCCATATTTCTAATTTCTTTGCTGTGTTTGCTATTAAAGTTGTACAGTTATCTGAGCATATTTTCAAGGTTTTAAATATATTTTGTTAGTGGTTGTTTTCTAGTATTTTTTTATTGTGTCTTTAATCTCAAAAGGCTTTATATCCTTTATACTCTATATAGCATTTACATTTTTTTAGAATGTCATTCCTCTCAGATTATTTTTAGCATATTTGTTAGGGCTTTTTATTTGTATTGTTTTTTCTTCATTTATTACAATGCTTATTAATTCACTTATGTTCTTTATTTCTGAAATTATCTTCCTTATGATATTTTTTCATGTGTATGAATATTTATTATCACTGATATTTATATTTAAGAGAGAAGAAATAGATTATTGGCTGGGTTTCCTGGCAATCTGATTAGTAGGATCATTTCTTGATATATTTTTCCATAGGTGATGCATCAAGAGAAGTAAGTTAAAATATGCTGTAGTGACAAAGGTTTATTCCTTGCTCGTGTTGAATTTCCATCAGGGGTTTGTGTCTTTACTGTGTTTTAAATTGTCCTCACTTTGGAACTTGAGCTTCCACAGCACTTACTATTTGGATTTTTATTGATCATTATGGCAGAAAATGAACTCTAGTGACTCTTCTGTCAACAGTTAAATGTTCCAATCTGGAAGTGGTGATGATTGTCTAGAACTAGTGACGGGGCCACATTCAACCCCCAAGAAGGCCACAGACTGCACTGCTATCATTTTCCCTTGAAAGTCAGAAGATTAAGATGGGGATTTATAATGGTCATTAATCACTACTATAGGTCAGAATTTGGTCAGGAGCTCAACGTATGATAGAAAGTGGTATATTGATTCCTAGACTTCAATTTATGGTGCTCTAGGTGAGAGACTTCTGAGAGGAAATGAACTTTCTATGTGCCAGAATGAAGGTTTTTCTCTAGGAAACAAAATCTACACTAGATCCCTAGTTTTCTCCAGATTCTTTAATCAACTGCATTAAAGAAAAATGAGTTGCTAGTCTTACTCAATTCTCACTGCCTCAATTCTACATAATGAATAAATGGAAGAAAGGGATTGGAGGTGAGTTCTGTTTTCATCCCTAACTTTCATGCTTGCAGAATTTTGTACTTGATGAATCAGAGCCAAGACCATGTTAGGCTATCAGTGTGAGGATTGCACTACAATTTCTCTTGCACATCCTCAGAGCATACATTAAACAGTAACTTTTTATGTGTTTCAGCCACTAAATATGCCCCATCTAACTTATGATTTGAAGCAATTTGCTGTTATAGGTCAATTCTAATCTGTTTTTACATTTTAGTCTCAATAATGTTTCAGGAGAGAGAGCCATATGTGTCCAGTATCTCTGCCTGAAAGGAGAAGCTTAAGTGTGGAGTGTTTGTTTGTATTTTTGTGTGTGTTTTTTGTTATTTAATTGGTAAATAAGTATTCTATTTTAGAGTAATTCAGTTTTATAAAACTTTTATGAAGACAG